AAAACTTGTGCATAATGTTCTAAATGAAACAGTAAGAAGTTTTGAAAAGGAACAAAAACGTATGTAATATTTAATGTTTCATATTGTGACATGTTTTTTGTAATATAATTAATGATTTTAGTATCCGATAAAGTTCTATTAAATCTATATAATATTTTTGGTACTGTATTCGAAAGAGCATTGGAATTATATGAGCAAGGACGTATAACCCATATTTATTCATCCGAGACTGTTGCAGCGCTACCTCACAATGATAATAATAATACAAGATATTTAGTGCAAGTTAAAGGCTTTTCAGGATCAATATATGTATTGTTTCCCGATGTAAATTATTGCACTTGTTCATCATTTAGGTATCGTAATGTTTTATTTTTATAGGAAATGTTTTTAAATATTAATTATATCGGCTATCGTAAAACATTTTATCTCGCAGGTGTCAAGTGTTAAATGATAAATCTTTATTCACTTGCAAACACGTTTTAGCAGACTGCCTAGCGACAATTACAAAGAGTAAATTATCTTATCAATACATGACGGAGACTCAATTCCAGAGCGTTTTACTACATCAGGTTTCGTACGTGCAACATGTTATCTGATACAGAAAATTATAAATTTGTTGCAAAGTTAGGGAACCTTAAGACTATAGTACAGTTACTAAAAGCAATTAATTTTAAGGAGGTATAATAACACAAAGTATTTTCAGTTAATCATTCTGCGTGATATTATCTAATAATCTGTACATTTTATTTAGAGTGCAACATGTTTTGGTACCGAAAATGGTTTGAAAGTAACGGTGGAGGATTCAAAGTGTATGCAGGCTAGCGCATACATTCCATCTTATGTATTTCAAGAATTTACCTTAAAGGACGACGTTATTTTTCAAATAAGCTTAAATATATTGGTCGAATGTCTTTGCATGTTTTGGAGCAATATCAATACTCAAGGGAATTCAGTGGCCCTTCAACTTTTTTATAAAGTATATACATACGGTGACACGATTACAAAAATAGCTTGTCATATATTTTTTAACTCAGAATATTTCTAATTTTTCATCTAACAGTTCAATTTTCCATGGTTCTATATTATCGTAACATAAGTAGACAGAACACAGAATAACTGGCAAATAACATTTTTTTAGACTTTAGTCCACTTCCATTATTATTAATATTTATGAACTAAATATTACATGAACTTCAAATATTAATGGAATAATCATTCCAATAATAGGGAACTGGACATCCAGTAACGGTTCTTATAGAAGAAGATGGTATTATAACAGACTGTTCTTTAAAAACTCAAGATCCTGATGAACTGTTGAACTTTCATCTAGAACCAGAAAATGTTTTAAATAAAGTAGTTTTACAAACTGAACTGTTGAAAGATATATTATCAGAGCTCGATCAAACCAGTGATTTAATAGAGGTGGGGTACAATCTTAAATTTGTATGTTTATAATTTAACACTATAATTCCTGTGTCACCCATACGTGGGTGAAGAAATTATTTACTCGGATTTGAAAATTATCTTTTACGCTGATCTATTATAATTTTCTAATCGTAAGATTTGCAAAACATAATAATGCTGGAATAGTAATCGATGTCGTACAACTATACTTTGCAATTTTTAATTTAATTGAATAAAATATTTTAATCTCATTAAATTTTTTGAGGTTGCAACGTAACAGTCAAAGCGTTAATGGTTCTATATTTTCTTTTTTTTTCCGATGGCTCTAATTTTATAGCTTCTTCTATCACCCTCTGCGCCATATTTTCGGATCAGTACAGCTGGCTTGGCTGGGATTTGTCGCATCGAGTTACCACATGGCGGTGATTTAGTAGATAATTTCGAGTGCACCTCGACAGCAACAACCAGTTACAAATTGTCGCATATCAAACCGGCTATGAAAGCATTGGTATATGCTAATAAAGTTTCGTTGAGAACAAACACATGCGGACTGTTATGTTTCCAGCATATGGTTAAAACGGACGACGGTCATACATGTTACATAGAGTATTACGTAAGAGTTTCATATCTTTTCGCATTTCGCTCAAAGACAATCAGCAGTTAATAAAACAGTGTACAAATGTCAAAAAATACTTTCTTTCAGATCTCACCGGTGATAGACTCGAACGAGTAGTAATTGTACTTTCTAGGTTACTACGGATTATTACGGGATTTTGTTCATAGTAACGGGATAAAAAAAAATGATTGAATATTTCATACAAATTATTTCTCATTCATCTTTTCGCAATGCTAATTGTAAGTATATAAAAAAATATCTTTGTACAAAAGAACTGGTAGTCACGTCAATCTCTCTTTATTTATAAAGAATCCGTTTGTGCAAAAAGCAAATCATTGAATTACATTTAAACAAGCGTAAAAAATATATAAACTGTTGGATCTCTCGAGACGTTATATAATCATGATCAACGGTATATAAATACGAATATACACGCTATCGAAACAGTGTGTGTGCGTGTGTGTGTGTGCGCGCGCATTTTGTTCACTTTAGAATAGTAGTCGCAACATTATATATATATATATACGTTTCTACGTCGACCCTCTGTCATTTTCTTTTACAATTTACAAACGAAAACAATGTATCATTCCTTGACTTTTAACGATAACTTCTGAACGTTGATAAATTCATCGTTGATCCGAAAAAAATGTCATTTCTTCGTTGAGAAAATACTTTTACTCTTGGAGTTTGTACATCCTCGTGCAGACAACATCGTCGACTTTCATGATCTGTAACAGAAAAAAAAACAAATAAACGATTCAATCGTGTGAAACGTGCATATAAAGAGAGTGAGTGTTTCTTCTGTTAACCCTTTGCACTCGAAGCCATTTTAAAACAGTAAATCTAAAATAATTTTTCTGACTTATCGGTAATTCCATTTTATATGACAAAGTGCATTTTATGCATACGAAATTGAGTCTTCTGATTTATAGAACAGTTATGCTTTTAATAATATTATATAATACATATTATATATATATATAATATAAATATACTATAATACATTACATAATATATATTATATAATATAAATATACTATAATATATTATATAATATATATTATACAATATAAAAGTGACATTAGAACGTGATACAATAATTTCAGTGGTGCCTCAGACTTACCACCCGGGTGCAAAGGGTTAATACTCGCGCGCACACATTAATTATTCCCTTCGCCAATGTCCAAGGACTTCCGAACAATTGATTATCATTAACTTCATTATTGAACTTCTTATTAAATTGTTCGAGACACGAATGCGCGATAGGCACATGCGCGATAGGCACATGCGGTAATTGTCGGACCTTTTGACCAATGGCGCAGCCATTGTTATTATCATTAACCGTTCGGCCCAGTTATCTCTTGTCGTTGTGTGTCGTTCAACCCTGCGTAGCCCTCGGCTACCATCGCACGAAACCTAACTCAATTGAACCGTCAGGCTTATAATTCTTTAATGATCTCCCACGGTGCAAGATTACGTAATTGATTATCTGGCAGATTTTATTAGATTCGCCGTCGGCCGTTCGGGCCGAACAATAACGAATCGTCCAGTTGTCGTTGTCGGCGACGAGGCATTTTTCACACGGCCTAATCGTACGAATTTTTAATCGAGGTTACACCGAATCATAATACAGGGTGTCCCAAAAATGTCTCGCAATCCGAGAATGGAAGGTTCCTGAGGTAATTCGAAGTAAGTTTGTCCTTGGGGAAAATGCAATTCACGGCTTTGTTTACGAGTTATTAACGAAAAAGAGTGACCAATGAGAGGTGAGATATGCCGGCGCAAGGCGGCCGAGCCAATGAGCGGAACTGGGCTTCATGCGCCGATTGGCTCAGCCGCCGAACGCTAGGCGAGCTCGCGTCTCATTGGTCAGCGTTTTTTCGTTAATAACTCGTAAACAAAGCGGCGGATTGCACTTTTGCAAAGGAAAAAGTTACTCAGAATGACCTAAACTACCCCGCATTTCCGTATTGCGAGACATTTCTGGGACACCCTGGTACGTACCGCCTTCATTTCCGTCGGCATGAACTCCCTCTCGATCGTGGTCTGCTTCTCGCCCTTCTGCACTTGCATCAGCTTGTTCCCGTCCAAGGTGCAGACGCTTTTCACTTTCCTGCCGTCCGGAGTCTCCTCCTCGAACTCCTCGCCGAGCTTGAATTTGATATCGCCGCTTTTGAACGTGCTGGTCGTCTTCAAGGTGTAGAGGCCGTTGTCCTCAGTCAATTCAACGACGGGGCTCACGCAGCTGCCCATTTTACGGGTCATCACGCCCACGCCTGAAAGAAGAGGAAGCGCACGGCGTAGAGATATATCTAAGGGGAAATTAAAAGAACGGGCCAAACCGGTCGCGGCTCTCTTAAAGCCGTTTTCTACGAGTTCCACGCGTGTACAAAATAAAAAGAAAAAAAGCCTCGCGTCACCGATTTAGGACGACGCGGAGGGAACGGGACGCAACGGGAATTCGAAGACGCACGGTTTCCGGTTTTAAAAGCGGAATAAATAAGAGCGTTACATCACCTAAAGCTTTCATCAGCTCGTCGAAGTTCTCGCTGGACTCCAGCTTGTAGCGTTTACCGTAAAAATCCGACAACATCTTGCACGATTGTCTTTTCTTTTTTTTTTTCTACGCCACGGACGATCGAGGAACGACGCGCTAATCGAACTGAACAGCGGCCGACGTGTTGCCCGTGTTATATAGTTCAGTGACAACGATACCGGTGTCGGTGTTTTATCAATTGTACGTGAATCACAGTTCTCGACTTTGATTAGTATGCGAGACTCCGAGAATCGCAAACTTTGAAGTTTGAACTTTCCCGATTACCGTCTACCGTTCTATGTGTTTACAATTGATACTTTATCAACCGAAAACGATAAATCCCCTTAACTCCGCGTGCAATCTCTGACTTCTTCTTTTTTTTCTCTCTCTCTCGAAGCACGTGCTAATATACGGTGAGAAAATATGATACAATTTTATGTAATACATTCCAATACGATGCACGTAATGCGTGGAACGGTTGTGTAATACGATCTCTCCTTGTTTTTTCTTTTAGGAAAATGTTCCGCGCGCGCGCGCGTCGCGGACAGAGCTATTTCCGCTGGAATCGTTCAGCGTTATTTTATTATTACTGGTTCTGTGTACACAGGTCTATTATATAAGGACAACCAATATCCTCGGTCGCAGTTCTTAAACGCGGCCCCGAGATCTCGAATAACATTGTAACGCCGCAAAGCGTGGCGGCAGTTTACTACAGGGTGTCCCAAAAATGTCTTGCAATCCGAAAGTAGGGGATTCCTGGGGTGATTTGAAGCAACTTTTTCCTTAGCGAAAATGCAATCCGCGGCTTCGTTTACGAGTTGTTAACGAAAAACAGTGACCAATCAGAGGCGAGATCGTTCGGCGCGAGACGGCCGTCCCAATGAGCGGAACCGGGCTCCGTGCACTCGTTGGCTGGGCCGCCGCGCGCCGGCCGAGCTCGCCTCTTATTGGTCAGTGTTTTTCGTTGATAACTCGTAAACGAAGCCTCGAAGAAAATTTTCGCAAAGGAAATAGTTGCTCCAAATCACCTCGGGAACCTCCCATTTCCGGATCGCAAGACATTTTCGGGACACCCTGTATCGCGCTTTGCTGTTAGTGTCCCGCTCGTATATTTCGTTATCGCTAACGAGGAAGCGCGAGGAGTCGTGTTCAAACGCAACGTAAGGAAGAACAAGAGGTGGCATATGCTTCTGAAATCGAAGAAGAACTATCTGTATCTCATTGACGCGCTTAGCGAACTATGGCAACGATACTGTTACGCAGCTAACAATCCTAATTGCTCTATGGTCTCTCTAAACGATGATCCGACTTCTTGCATTTCTAACGACCGACAGAAGCTTTTTACAGAATTTTTAAGAAATACAAGCGTTGCGAATTATCCGGGGAACGTAATAGTGCAGCAGAATTTACATAACATTTCGTCACTTCCGTAATCCAGTGACAAAAAAGTAGCCATTAATTCTATATTTACCGAGAGAGAGAGAGAAAGATAGCGTTCAGTAAATATTTTACTTGACGCGTCGCGACCACGAAGTCATGGTCTTAAATAACATAACCTCTCAAGCAAAAAATACAGTCTCCCCGCTCTAACGCACGAGCACCGAAAATGCCAATGAGCGGAACTGGGCTTTGTGCGCTGGTTGGCTGGGCCGCCTCGCGTCAGTCGTACTCGATTCTTATTGGTCACTGTTTTTCGTTAATAACTCGTTAACGGTGCCTCGGAGAAAATTTTTGTAAAGGAAAAAGTTGCTTCGAATGATCCGAGGAATCCGTCACTTTCGGATTGCGAGACATTTTCGGGACACCCTGTATAACGCGTTCCGCGCAAGGATGCAATTGTCGATTGGCCACCGTTCGAGGAAGCGATAATTTATGTTCCTTCGTGGCATCAGTCAACACTTTGTCGCGTGGGCTACCGCCGATCACTGTGAACTTGCAGTTTTATTTAATTTCCGGTACTCGGACAGAAACGGCTGCACACAAACGACTATGAGAATGCAAGAACGTCGTCGTCGCCGACGCACGAATAAGGTTGTCATCGTTTCTAATTCGAAACAACCGTCGACGTACAAATTTCATAGCGTGATCAATTGAATTCTAGGCAAGCAGCGTAGGAAAAAAATTCGATTCTGTTCAAAGAGATGAAATTAAAATATTCTGAAGATATTTTAATATTTGGTAAGAATGAAATTCGATTCGAAATTTAATTCTTGATTAGATTTGAAATCAAGTTACATTTCAGATGGAAACGAATTTAACTTATTTAGCCTTCGAAGGATTTAAGACGTTCAAGCAGTGTGCGGTCTTTTAAAAAGGTGAATGAGATTAATTAAAGCTGTCGTCGGGCGATGACTGGCGACTACGGGTCGTACAACTGCCAGTTGTTCCGGTAATATTCGCTTTATAATAACGACATTGTTCTTGATTGAATCTACCAAGTTACGCCGGGGAAGGGTGGGGAGAGCTTTTCTTGCGCGGCGGAACTTATTCATGTATAAAAGCTGTGCTCGGTTCTCTTTCAAGCACTGTTTGCGGTCACATTGAACATCAAAAGAACATTAAGTCACAGATCTATTGGGTTGGCAACTAAGTAATTGCCGATTTCAGTTATAGATGTCTCTCACTCCCATTTTTATGATATCCGTAAATGTTATATTATAAAATTATTATTATTATTATTATTATTATTATTATTATTATGTTATTTTTTATTATCCGTGAATGTTAGCAACTGGACAAATTGAATGCAGCGGTCAAGGAAAACCGACCAGAATTGGTCAATCGTAAAGATGTCATTTTCCAGCAGGACAATGCTAGGCCGTACACGTCTTTGTCCACTCGGCAAAAATTGATGGATATTGGTTGGGAATTGATGTTACACCCACCATATAGCCCTGATCTCGCGCCATCGGATTACCACTTATTTCGATCCCTGGACAACTCCCTTCGTGGTAAAACTTTTAATGATGATGACGCTATAAAATTTCACTTAACTCAGTTTTTGGCCGAAAAGGATCAGACTTTCTACGAGCGTGGAATTTTCAAGTTGTCAGAGAGATGGCAAAAGGTCATCGAACAAAATGGAAAATACATTACAGATTAAACTTCGTTCCAAGTAAAAAAAAATTTTTTATTTCATTGAACAAATCGGCAATTACTTAGTTGCCAACCCAATATTTACACAGAACAAACGACACCGCGTCAAATTTCAGTTATTAAGATATTAACACTTAATTTATTGTATGCCGATGGTACCACTTTGGTGCCATTTTTAAAAAATTTGAAATAACATTTGAACTATATTTCTTGGGTGTTAAAAGGCGACAAACTAACTACAGCATTGTGCTTATTTAACTAAGAATTAAGTACGAAAATTCTTGGATGACTTATCTTAATTTTAGGAATTTATGTTATCGCCATCTTCGAATTTTTTTTTTAAATCTAAAATTTCCAAGCTATTATATGCCGGCGTCAAAGAAAAGAATTGTATCTAAGATCTGCAGACGGCATAGTGTTAAGATTAACACGAATTCTTTGCTATCTTAAGCGTTTCATTGGGAACAATAACATTTTCGGTGCTCGAGCGGGCACACTGTATTTTTTGCTTGAAAGGTTATGTTATTTAAGAGCACGACTTCGCGGCCGCGTCACGTCAAGTAAAATATTTACTGAACGCTATTTCTCTCTCTCTCTCTCTCTCGGTAAATATAGAATTAATGGCTACTTTTTTGTCACTGGATTACGGAAGTGATGAAATGTCGCGTTATGTAAATTCTACTGCACTATTATGTTCCCCGGATAATTCGCTACGCTTGCATTTCTTAAAAATTCTATAAAAAGCTTCTGTCGGTCGTTAGAAATGCAAGAAGTCGGATCATCGTTTAGAGAGTCCATAGAGCAATTAGGATCGTTAGCTTCGTAACAATATCGTTGCCATAGTTCGTTAAGCGCGTCAATGAGATATAGATAGTTCTTCTTCGACTTCAGAAGCATATGCCACCTCTTGTTCTTCCTTACGTTGCGTTTAAACACGACTCCTCGCGCTTCCTCGTTAGCGATAACGAAAGATACGAGCGCGACACTAACGGCCAAGCGCCATACAGGGTGTCCCGAAAATGTCTCGCGATCCGGAAATGGGAGGTTCCCGAGGTGATTTGGAGCAACTATTTGCTTTGCGAAAATTTTCTCCGAGGCTTCGTTTACGAGTTATCAACGAAAAACACTGACCAATAAGAGGCGAGCTCGGCCGGCGCGCGGCGGCCCAGCCAACGAGTGCACGGAGCCCGGTTCCGCTCATTGGCTCGGCCGTCTCGCGCCGAATGATCTCGCCTCTGATTGGTCACTGTTTTTCGTTAATAACTCGCAAACGAAGCCACGGATTGCATTTTCGCTAAGGAAAAAGTTGCTTCAAATCACCTCAGGAATCCCCTTACAATCGGACTGCAAAACATTTTTGCGACAATTCCGAAACCAATTCCGAACGGAAGTTCTCATTCGCAAATTGAAACGTTCATCCGAAAGAATTATTCGGTCGTGTTACAGGTTACAAAAGCCGGCGTCCCGTTATCGTTTTCATTGAGTCGCTGGGGATCAGGCGGGACTCGCGCGGTCAATGTGTTTTTATTAAATCAATCCCGTAAGTACCGTACATTAGCGCGATTCGACTGACAATTGCGATTTATTAATCTTGCCCGGTGAATTTAATTCAAGTGCTAAATTGGATGTCAATCGGACTACTCCTGGGGACTGTGTAGCACATGGCGGGAATTAAGCGGTGAGGTCAGGTCGTTGCTCGGCCACGCGGACATAGTTCAACGTATTAAAATTGATTATCTTATTACGATACCGAGAGGCTGGGCCCTGATATTCGAAAACACGATATCGCCCTCTCTCTCTCTCTCTCTCTCTATCTCTCTCTGTCTGTCTCTCTACTGCCGCGGCAATAAGATTCTTCAGCTTATTTTATCTCGATCCGATTTCTCGTTATCAGTCGTTATCTCGTTAATAACAACACTCGTCCCCTGAACGATAATTGTGTATATCGAACATCGATGTAACTTACGAACAGATTACGGTCAATCGTGATATATACATATATATATTTATAAACGGTCTCAGAATCTCGTCGCGATTAACACGTTTATCGTCGCGTAATTCAAGTACAATATAATTCAAGTACAGTCGGTTGTTTATCAACAATAAGTACCCTCCGAGGCTACAATAAGCTGCACGACGAACCTGTGCTGCTTGCGGCGGAACAGCGAGACGATTTCCACGGTACGACGCGTTCGCGCGACAGCGATAACGACATCCGCGAATATAATACTATCTCTAACCGAAGCTGCAGCGATCTCGCGAAACAAAATTCACGGGGCGTCGCGAGGTCGATCGCGAGATCGACGAGGGAGGTGTTCCATTGGGATCCCATTATCGCGAGATGTGTATATCGATCGATACGTACCGAGCGCCTTCATGAATTCGTCGAAATTCTCGCTGCTGAACAGTTTGTACTGTTTCCCGAGGAACTCTTCGGCCGGCATTGTCGATCGATCGGAATTTCGTCCGGGCTGGGGAGGAGAATGCGACTGGCGACGACGACGGTGCTAGGTCCAAAGGACGATTGCCAACTGGACGAGAGAGGAGAGGAGTCGTAGTGCGATACAAGGCCGAGATGCTCACTGTCTTCACGCCGGCTCTAGACTGGCTAGGATCCGGGAGGACGAGGAACGTTAAAGGTGTACACACGAAGCACACCAATGCGAACCGAACTACACACAGTAGTACATAGCTCGGTCTCCCTCCTTCGCCCGCGCTCCCACTTGTTCGTCTCTGCGTTCTCCTTCGTCTCTCTCTCTCTCTCTCTCTCTCTCTTCTTTCAATGGATCCCGGTCGCACCCTTTACACCTACGATCCGTCCTTCTCGTTCCAACGGAACCCCGCTCCTTTCGTCCTTCGCTCGAAAAATATTCTTCTCCCTTTCAGCAGTTTCGCCTGCGCGCTCCGACGCTCCTCCCTCCCCTCCCCTCCACGCCCCTCCCGGCCCCTATCGAAATATTCGCAGCTGCACAGCTCGGAGTCGATGCGTCGTCTCTTTTCCAACACCGTGATTTCTATCGTTTTTATTACAGGTTGCCGCTAAATCGCTTCCACCCCCTTTTTTTGTTCATCGCTTTCTCGTGCGCGCGCGAGTACGGCACACTGTTCACGGTGTTTCGACGACTCGGTGTTTTTTTGATTTGTCAATGGAGACTCGATCGCGCGCGAGTCAATCTATCGTAATATAATGCAGTGATTTATGGTCCTGCGATAACGACCGCCGCGTTATATTGACGCATAGGAGAACGTCTTTGTACGTCGATTTATCGGCGGCGTACGTAATTCTTTGCCGTAATATCGCGGATTTTAGGCGAACGACGAACTCTTCGCAGCCGAGCGCATCCGATCGGTATCGATTTCTTATCGATCTGCAACGGCTTAATTAGCAGGATTATTATTACTAAATATATATATATATATATATATATATAATAATATATATTATTATTACTATATTATTACTCAATATATTATATATATAATAATATATGTATAATTATATATTATATATTAATAATATTATATTATATTATATAATAATTATATAACATATATAATATTATTATTATTATTACTCGACGCTGGAACGATGTAGCCTGGGATCATGGCGTGAGCGCTGTCTAATTGTACCGGTGCTGCTTGTCCGCCATTGGCCGACGGGGAACCGCGCGCGGCGTAAGGGCCAATCACGGCGCTGCACGATCAAAGTATGAACGCAGTCGTTCGGATGGTTCGAACACGCCGTAGATATTACACTTATTATGTACACCCAGAATGTATCGGTGTATCATCTGCAACACGTTGACATAACCTTGACTAATAAACCTGACTAATAAACCCTAGTTCAATTCTCGTCCTTAGAACCGAGGCGCGTAAACAATCGGTGCACGGCTCCCGATTCGATCGTAACATAAACAATTGGCAAACGGACACGGTCAGCGGGCGGCGTGTTTTTTCTTCTCTGCCGAGCACACATCCCTCAAGGTCCAGCGAGTCGCGCGCGCAGAAGAGACGACGCGGGTATAACGTTTCATCCGGTGGCGTGCCGGCGGCCTCGTCGATTTCGCTGCGTTTGCCAAACCGCCCCGGCAGGGCAAAGCATGGTCGATAACGGCGCGCGCGGTGGAAACGCGACGACGTGACGCGCGCGCGGTGTACCCGCGCGTCCATTCTCGCCCGCTCGGCAGAGAGAGAGCGGCCCCACGATCGGCGTAGCAACGCGCGTAGCATTCGACGCGACGCACGCCGGCGGCTCTCTGCAGACGCATTTGGCAACGCCGAAACAGCCCGAATTCCGCATCCAGCATGGGAGGAACGCGGCGGCGGCGGCCGGCGCACGTGCGACGCGACACGGCGTGCCCCCGAGGATTTCGCGTGGCCGTTCCAAAAATCGCAGACGATTTTCGCGTCTCCCCTCCTCCCTGTTTTCACCGCGTTCAACACTATCGGACGTTATTCGGACGAAACGGTGTCTATTTATAAAGTTAGCGAACGCCTTTTACAACCGGTTCCAGCCGATCACCGGTTTCTCGCAAGCGTTATTATAAATCCGGCGCGGTCGATGAGCGCCAGTATCACCGCATTGGAAATGCGGCGGCGACCGGCCGGCCAACGGGGACGCGTCGCGTCGCGTCGCGTCGCTTCCCGCCGCGTCGCGCCGTGCCGCGTCGTTCCGTGTTGCACACACGTCCACGGCGGAGGAAAGGAGGCAATCGAGCGAGCGAGCGAGCGAGCGGAGCGGCGGAGTGGAGCGGTGCGGAGCGGAGCGGAGTGGCGCGGCGCGGCGCGACAAGCTCGCCCCGCGGGTTCCGCTGGCTTTCAGCCTCTCTCGCCGGTAGATTTGGCAACGCTGCGGCATAGCAGCGGCATAGATTCCGCTCCGCAACCGCAACCGCACGCCAGGGCTAGCGCGCCATGATGCCAAACCAAGCTAGCCGTGCAACGGTTTCTCCGCAGTGACGCGCAAGCTGCCGGCGACGGCGTAGCCTACACCAGTCGAATCGCCTGCGGGAGACACGTTTCCGTCCAATATATTTTGTTAGACTTTTCTTTTTTTTTCGAATCCTCGTTCCGACCGGTCCTTCGTTCTTTCGCGAGATCCTCGGCCACGACCGGATCGATTTCGTAACGCCGTCGACCGCGTGTATTGACCGGCTCCCGGTGGCCGTCGCCGCGCCAACATTAATCCGAATCGATAATCCCGTAATCTGGTCCGTCGTCGTCGTCGTCGTCGTTTGGAAAAACAATCGGCCGCCTCTCTCGGGTCGGCAAATCGTCATCCCTTATTTTCTCATCGTTCACCATCGTGTCCCGGTTCCTCTATTTTTGTTCGTTCTCTCTCTGTATTTGTCTCGGCGTTTTCACTCTGCCCGTCTCTCCCCCTCACCCCTCGTCGTCTCCGCACCGGCACCTGTTTCCACCGCGAACGGTCGAGCAAAGTTGAAAAGTTCGAGTCGGACGAAGGAGATTATTAATCGAACGTGAGAAGGCCGCCAAAGGGTGGTTTTCCGGCGGTTTCCACGGAATCGATACGGCATGTTCGATACAGAGAAATTTATCGAGGAGATAGAGAAGCGGCCCGCGATTTACGACGTGAATCGCAGCGAGTACAACGACCGTAACGCCAAGATGACCGCGTGGGACGAGGTCTGCCAGGTGATGGTACCGAATTGGGCGCGCTTGACGGACGAGGAGAGAAACGTAGAAGGTATACACAGAGACACAGAGAGAGAGAGAGAGAGAGAGAGAGAGCCTCTTGCGCGATCGATCGATCCGGATTCCTCCGCTCGCGCTCGCCCGACCCTGGCACCGGCCGCAGCGCGACCGTATCTGCGGTCGTTTCGTATCGTTTCTCGATTGCATCGTTTCTTCGATTTTTCACCGTTTACATAATCCTCGGATGAAAACACTGAAAACATCTAAAAATATATACATATACAGGGTGTCCCAAAAATATGTCTCGCGATACGGAAACGGCGGGTTCCTCGGATTATTCGAAGCAGCTTCTTCCTTTACGAAAATGTTCTCCGACGCACCGTTAACGAGTTATCAACGAAAAACAAGTGACCAATAAGAATCGAGTACGGCCGACGCGAGGCGGCCCAGCCAACCAGCGCGTGAAGCCCAGTTCCGCTCATTGGCTCGGTCGCCTCGCGCCGGCCGTGCTCGCCTCTCATTGGTCACTGTTGTTTCGTTAATAACTCGTCAACGGCGCCTCGGAGAAAATTTTTGTAAAGGAAAAAGTTGCTTGGAACGATCCGAGGAACCCGCCACTTTCGGATTGCGAGACATTTTCGGGGACATCCTGTATATTATCGTAGATTTCTTCTAAAAACACGCCGCGCGACCGTTTCCGCTTCTCCCTCAGGACACGAGACAGCCGTCGGCTATCGCTAATCACATATTATTATAAATATTAATATTATATTATTATTATTATTATTATTATTATTATATTAATATTAATATTAATATTATTATTATTATTATATTAATATTATTATTATTATTATATTAATATTAATATTAATATTATTATTATTATTATATTATTGTTATTATTATTATATTAATATTATTTTATGGAAACCAAGAAAATGATATACGGTGTGTCCAACGAAAAAGTATTCGAACAGTTAAATTTCTTATTTTTATCTGATTATTTTAATTTCCTCACATTTATTCGATTTCATTTATTTCTTATTTATTATACCATCGAATTATTTTCTAATTTTATGAAAACAATCTCGAGACTTCCCTTCTCGCTGTCGACACAAAAATAGTCTCAAACAATTTTTAACTAACAATTCAATCAATCTGATAAACAAATAACAATTCTGATATTTGAGCCGTTTATTTTGAAAGTGGCATAAGTCACTTTGTTTTTTAAGTCGATATATTTAAGGGTTTGCGTTTGGACACGTTTAAAAATATGGACGCTAACATTCGAGAAGATTTACTCGTATTTGTTATCCTCAGGATACTAATATTTTTCTCAGTATAAATAATTTCGTATAAACATTAAAAAAATCACCGCTTTCCATTACGGTAAAGTGTCTTACGCCACTTTCAAAATAAACGGCTCATACCTATCGTCAGAAATATTTCCAGAGAAGAATCTGCGCGGCAAATGGAGGAACATACGCGACTACTTCATGAAGGAGCTGAAGCTGCAGAAGTCGCAGAAACTGGGACCGTCCGGCCGGAAGCGGAAGAAGTACATGTACTTCGATCAGCTGCAGTTCCTTATGCCGACGGTAGAGAACAAACGGTCAGTATAGAGTATAGTCTACGGCGGAGTATAGTGAACGTGGGGCGACTGGCGCGCATCGGGGACCCGTTAACCGGCGAGACTGCTTTCTTCGCCTTTCCAGCAACGTCGGCCTAGGGCTGAACAATTGCAAGTCCGAGGAGAGCGAGGGCGAGGTTGATAATCCGGTGATCGAGGAGTACGACATGCCGTTGACGCACGCCGCGCCCCCTATAACGACCGCCAGGGAATACCTCCAGCCGGGCGCGTCCTACAAAATGTGTCCCCGTTACCCGAAGCAGCTCTGCGAGACGTCGTTCGCGTCCTTCGATAACGAGATCCACGACATGCTGTCGTCGCACAGCAGCCAGCGGATCGCCTACGACGAGGACGACTACGACAAAATGTTCCTGCTCTCTCTATTGCCTATTATACGACAAGTTCCCGACGAGAAGAAGCTGGACGTTAGGATACAGATACAACAGGTTCTGGCGCTGGCTATACGCCCCCCGGACAACTAGCAACGATAAATGTATTCTCTCTAAATGTATGTATGTATGTATGCATGTGCGCGCGTGGAATGGCCGTGTGGTGGTGTTTCGTAAGACTTCTTGGACGCTGGCCGTGCATTTCTTTTGTTTTTGTTTTTTTCTTTTTCGTCAGCGTGCATTTTCGCGTTTGTTGTTGTTGATCGAACACCACACGGGCGCCAACGTTACTCTCGAGTGCTGTAACACGAATTATACGTTGATTCCGATAATTGCTTGATAATAATAACTCTACATAGGTCGCGAACTGTTCCGAGTTACCGATACAGCGATAACGCGCGTCCATGAACACGCCGGACGGCAGCGTCGTTCTGCAACGGACCGAGCACGATTCATGGATTTACACTTCGAGTACCTATACCTGTGATATTACGCGACGGAGATTCTTTCGACGAATGGCAGACATAGAGGATAGAAAATTTATACGTATACATATACATATATATATATATAGATATATAGATATATTGTATATATACGACGTGGCGATGTACTGTAAACGGAAACGCGATGCGGCCGGTCTTTGCGCGCAAGACCGGCACCATGTATTTTCGTAAATTTGAAATAAATATTAGTTATATTTTATCGATAAAACCGTCTCATCGTGAAGGGTTATGGAAATCGTCGACCAGGAGATACGTATAACGTATGAGGACAACGTCGCGCGCGACGTTACCGGCGGTCGATATCGCGTCGATAACGCGTCGATACGGCATTCATCTGCGTTGCGGGAGGCGCGACTAGGTGGCGCCACCGGTGCGTCGAAATTTACGTTCAGCAATTATACGAACAGAACCGCAGCGCTTAATTTAGGAAACCGAGAGTTTAACAGGAGAGATCAGTTGAATTTAATTAATGCGATGCTTACGGACCACGTGTACAACGCTTCTCATCGATTACGTGTACTCGATCATTTTCCCGTCGATTGTTTGTCAATGTTTAAATAAAACCGATTACAACGGAGCGCCCGCTAATTAATCACGCGGTTATGAATCATCGTTTGCGGCAGCATAAAAAGAGGAGAAGATGCTTGAAAAGCAGACTCTCACGGTAACGAAATTGTTTTACATAAGCGCGTGGTAATAACGAGGCGACTAGTTATTTTGCCGAGGAACTCGACGACGACGCGGATTAACGTCGTTTACATCTTACGAACGTTAAGGAGATTTCACAAGTGGCCGCTGCAGGAAGACATAAAATTTCACCGGGAATTGGCGGACCGGTTCCAGGGCAAACCGTGTCCGCGTGTAATCACTGATTTCAATTGAATGCGTGCCTTTATGCTCGCTCGCGGGGACCGGCTTCCGCGTTCACGTTAAAGGGAATGGCTTAACTTGGACTTAATTTTGCCGTCGGTTTACCGTTGCCCCCCCTCCCCTCTCCTCCTCCCCCGCAACCATACTCGTTCTTTATCGTAGACGCAGCCAAGGATGATTTTACAGACGGAGAACAAAGCTTGTCGTTTCGCGCCGGTTTGCTTTACTTCTACCGGGCACAAAACTGAATTCAATTATTCACCACCGTGTTTGTCCATGTGTGTAGGAGCTTCTCATTGTAGCGGCGCATAAAAGAGCATTCCCGCCGAATGTCTAATTATAAAACAGATAAATGAATTCTATGTAGAATCCTTAATTCACGATGTCTCGTCCTATTTGCGGTCGCCGGGACAAAAATGCGGATCGCTAAAAAATTTAGCACACCGCGTCGATTATTATTATTAGTAATCAATATTATTATTAATATTAATAATATAATATAATAATAATTAATATTAATAATAATATTGATATTAATATTAATCTATATTATCATCATTATTAATAATATTAATTAATAATAATATTATCATTAAATTCTGGTCGCAGTTATTCGAACGGTACGCGGCTGTGAAGAATGAATTTTCATTCGGGTCGTATAACATTTAGCGAAAATTCAAAACAGAATTGACCGTTACAATCGATACGCTTATCTGCGTTATTCTACAGGGTGTCTCATAATTATATTAACAAAGGGGCGATTCTCGAGGTCATTCGAAGCAACTTTTTCCTTAACGAAAATGCTATCCGCGGCTTCGCTTAAGAGTTATCAACGAGAAACGCCGACCAACGAGCGGCGAGCTCGGCCGGCGCGCGGCGTCCGCGCCAGTGAGCGGAACCGGGCGTCGTGCGCCGGTTGGCTCGGCCCGCCTCGCACCATCTGTTCTCGCCTCCGATTGGTCCACCGTTTTTCCCGAATAACTCGTAAACGAAGCGTCGGATCGAATTTTCGCCAAGGAAAAAGTTCCTTCAAATCACCTCAGCAATCGCCTGGTCTACTTAACACGATTATCAAACAAGAATTTATACACCCTGTATCGCCGCGCTTTTATGTAAATTTACTACGGGGTTGTCGAGTAATCGAACGCGACGCTCGCGATCCGCGAGATCGCGACACTCGCAAGAAATCTCTCCACGCCGCTGACATTTCCTTTGTCGCCGAGTATTTATAATCGGCAACAATGGACTCGCCGCCGTCGTCGTTGCCGCGCAGCATTGTCTCCTCTTTTTTCTCGCCCCCGCCGCGCGATTTGCGATTTTCGCCCGCGACCCGCGCACAAAGGGCGAAAAAAGAAGACTGCCCGTTGATACCTGTCGAACGAACGGACAGTGCTCTCCGTTTCCGCGGTATAAATCATTCCGGCGTCGTTTCGGCGTACTCCGCCGGCGCGTCGCAGCCTTTTGAATCGATTCGAAATTGTTCGGACAGTTCGCTGAAAATTTTCAGCCAGGATTTACATTACATACTCCCCGTTGTCGGCGATCAGCCTGAGACACGCGTCGTGCGCGTAAACGTGGAAGGGTTGCCAGCAACTAGTGGCGTTCGTCGAAGCTCTACCCTCGCCGAGGCCTCCGTCCCTCCCATTCACTCCCTCCCTGAATAGACAGCCCCCTCTCCCCTCCGTGGATCTCCACGTATCAACCCCTACCGCTCAGCCGCTTCTCTCGTTTCCCCTCCCCTCTCTCTCGATCCCTCTCTCTCTCTCTATCCGCCGTTGTCTCTCTCCCCCGACGACACGCGCGGCTTTCTCTCGCGCGCGCGTTCTTCTGCCTCTCTGGAGCAACTCGCAGCATCCATCTGCCCGCTCCGGACTTCAGTCCACATCGAGAACGCGGCACCGTCGGCACCCTAAAGACCTAAAGGGAGTCAGTCACTGATCCATCGAGCCCCGTCGGCACCTTCGACGGTTCCTCGCTGCAGAAAGAGGAATGGCCGTGCTCGATCATCGGTTTTAAACAGAGATCGCGGCGTTAACTAACCGACGCTTCTTCTGTCGAATGGTCGACGTCGTAGCGACGATCCTCGTTCCCCGTCGCAGACCATCGGCCAAACGATCGCGAAGATCACCGGACAGGGACGCCTGAACGCCTTCGGATCCGCTCGGCACCCTCGCGAAAAAACCGTTCCAGCGACCCTGAAGAACATCGCTCTTCGGCATCGAAGGCCCCGCGGCGACGGATGCCTTGAGGGACCACCGTCCCCGTAAAATTAGGTAATCGCGTTTCGAAAGCGCGGAACGCGCCAGAAAAGCGTATAATCGTCGAGGAAGGAGGGCGGACTGCGGGAAGGGGGTGACAGAGGAGCGCCACGAGGGCTCGCGAGGAGACTGAAGAAGAGGGATTTCCCGCGGGACTGCCGGGGGTTGTTACCCAGCCCCGAAGTAGCGAACATCGGGCCCGGATGTTCGCGAGAACGAGACGCCGGAAACGCTGCCACGTTGGAAGGGAAAATATTGACGGTCGTCAACAAGTTCCTTACGACATCCCCTTTGGTTAACAAAGTCAAGCTGCTGATGGTGAGTCTCTCTCTCTCTCTCTTTCATTTTAACCCTTTGTTTCGGCGGCGGAGGCGACGCCGCCGCGATCTCCGCGCGACCTTATTGAGGACAATTCGATTGTTTGCCGGAAATATTCTAGAAAGTGTCGCGAGACGAGACCCTTTGGGGGTTGCGTTTTTGCTTTGATCGAGCGATTAGATTTAAGGGGACCGATTTTAATTTTGGCGATTTGGTTCGGCGATTGTTTCTCGCGTTGAAGAGTTTCTTGCTTGTTCGTTGTTTCGACGAACTTTCCTAATTGGACGAATATTAACCGTTTGCATCTTATATTATAGTATATAATAGTATTATAGTATAGTATATATAGTATATAGTATATACTATAGTATAGTATATATAGTATATTATAGTATTTGCATTTTGTATGACAAAGTGCATTCTATGCGTATGAAATTGAGTATTGCGGCGACTCGTGACGACAGTTGCACTTTTAACAATTTTAAAAAATCTAAACTTTGTTAATATAAAAATTATCTTTTAGTCTGCTGCGATTTTAGTGCTTCAGAGTCACCACTCGAGTGCAAAGGGCTAACACGTCGATTAGCTCGCTATTAACCCTTTGAATGCGAAACTGTTTTAACCGTAAATCTGAACGAATTTTTCTCACTTATAGTATTTGCATTTTGTGTGACAAAGTGCATTTTATGCGTATGAAATTGAGTATTGCGACGACTCGTGACAACAGTTGCACTTTTAACAATTTTTAAAAATCTAAACTTTGTTAATATAAAAATTATCTTGGAGCGTGATACAACAATTTTAGTCTGCTGCGATTTTAGTGCTTCAGAGTCATCACTCGAGTGCAGAGGGTTGACACGTCGATTAGCTCGCTATTAACCCTTTGAACGCGAAACTGTTTTAACCATAAATCTGAACGAATTTTTCTCACTTATAGTATTTGCATTTTGTGTGACAAAGTGCATTTTATGCGTATGAAATTGAGTATTGCGACGACTCGTGACAACAGTTGCACTTTTAACAATTTTTAAAAATCTAAACTTTGTTAATATAAAAATTATCTTGGAGCGTGATACAACAATTTTAGTCTGCTGCGATTTTAGTGCTTCAGAGTCATCACTCGAGTGCAGAGGGTTGACACGTCGATTAGCTCGCTATTAACCCTTTGAACGCGAAACTGTTTTAACCATAAATCTGAACGAATTTTTCTCACTTATAGTATTTGCATTTTGTGTGACAAAATGCATTTTATGCGTATGAAATTCAGTCATTTTCAATCATTTAGATCCGAGGAAACAGAATTTTTGTTTGGAAACGCGAAGATACGGTAATGTCTCTCTAATTGACGCTCAGATTGTCCGCGAAAGTGGACGATTTTGGAAGAGGAGGTACGATTGTTCGAGCCTTGCGGCTCTTTTTTTATAGTTATTGACAATTCGTAACTATTAAAATGAACCGCAAGTTTCGAATAATCTTATTATATCTCTATACATTAATATCTCCTATTCCTAAATTGCCCATTTTTGTGCAGAATCTGAGCGTCAATTAGGGAGACATTGTACGGTACAATTGTGAAATCCATATTTTTAGAAATTAATGAAGCAGTTATTCCGCGTATTTTCGTGAAAAATTCACTGAAAACACGCGAATACCAATAATGAAATTGAAATATCTGAATTTCCATTTAATTTAACATTGATTTATTTGCACGTTTATTTTGTCACACCTAATATGCCACATCTAAATATTATTCATTTAATCTGTACACATTACGCGAAAACAAATATCATTAGCCTATGCCTAAAAAGATCGCAGAAAAATTAGCAGCAGTTTCAGTTATCTTAACGCTTTGCACTCGAAGCTGTTTTAACTGTAAATCTAAGATCATTTTTCTCGCTTGTGGTATTTTTATTTTGTACGACAAAGTGCATTTTACGCGTATGAAATTCAGTCTTGCGACTCGTGCAACAATTACGTTCTCGACAATTCTTGAAATTCTAGACTTCGTTAATATGAAAATGATCTTAGAACGTGATGTAAAAAATTTTCACGGTATCTCAGTGTCACCGCTCGTGTGCAAAGGGTTAAACGCCGATTATTATGTTAACCCTTCGCAGTCGGAGCCCATTCGAACTCGAAATTCGAAATATTGGGTTGGCAACTAAGTAATTGCCGATTTGTTCAATGAAATAAAAAATTTTTTTTACTTGGAACGAAGTTTAATCTGTAATGTATTTTCCAATTTGTTCGATGACCTTTTGCCATCTCTCTGACAACTTGAAAATTCCACGCTCGTAGAAAGTCTGATCCTTTTCGGCCAAAAACTGAGTTAAGTGAGATTTTACAGCGTCATCATCATTCAAAGTTTTACCACGAAGGGAGTTGTCCAGGGATCGAAATAAGTGGGAATCCGATGGCGCGAGATCAGGGCTATACGGTGGGTGTAACACCAATTCCTAACCAATGTCCATCAATTTTTGCCGAGTGGACAAAGACGTGTGCGGCCTAGCATTGTCCTGCTGGAAAATGACACCTTCACGATTGACCAATTCTGGTCGCTTTTCCTTGACCGCTGCATTCAATTTGTCCAGTTGCTAACATTCACGGATAATAAAAAGTAACATAATAATAATAATAATAATAATTTTATAATATAACATTTACGGATATCATAAAAATGGGAGTGAGAGACATCTATAACTGAAATCGGCAATTACTTAGTTGCCAACCCAATAGTTATTCCGAGTTATAGCGTTTCGATTTTATGCGACCCGGTGCATTTTATACTATTTATCGATATGAAATTGAATTTTGTAACGGATGCAACGGTTAACGCGTTTCACAGTTTTTATTTGATACAAACAAATTTGACAAATGTTAAAATCAATTCGAAACGTGGCGATAACAATTCTTAATGGCGTCTTAGAGTCGTCGCTCGAGTGCAAAGGGTTAAACACCGATATTAACCATTATATTAACCCTTCGCAGTCGGAGCCTATTCGAACTCGACATTCGAAATAGTTATTCCTTATAGTTATTATTTATTATAGAAATAATGTTTCTATTTTATAATGACAAAATGCATTTTATGCACATGAAATTGACTTTTAGGACTCACGCAACAGTTATACCCTTAACAATTCCTCAAAATCTAAACTTTGTTAATATAAAAATCATCTTGGAACCTGATACAATAATTTTTTAGTGTCTCAGAGTCTTTGCACTCGAGTGCAAAGGGTTAAGCTCTGTGCGCCGAATTCGTCGTTTTCAAGCGCAACGAAGAAGGGTAGCAAACGCTCGCGCGTTTTCTCGCGCGCTCCGCCGCGCTCCGTCGCGCCCCCATAAGAATTCAGAAAGAAAATCTCGCCGGAATATATTCCGTCGCGCGAAGAAACGCCGGTCAAACGATATCCAGTCGCAAACAATGCGCTGAACGCGAATAATAAAGCGTCTGCAGTTCCTCAACTCGCTCTTTCGTCCGCTTCGCAGTAATACTTTCCCCTCGAGCGGCGTCCGATAGCGAGTTTTTCGCGGCTCTCGAGTGCCATAAAGTCGCGGAAACACGCGAGTGAAATGGTCCGCGGTGTCATTCCGCTAATTTCTCCGACACCGTCTTTAATCGCGCGCGATTATCCGCCTCGGCGCTCGTTCGCGCCCCATTAAACTCCTCTCTCCTCTCGCTCGGAGTTCCTTCTTTAAATCCGTCGCGAATCCGTCCTCGGGCAAAAAAGAACGCCGCGTTAAGAGACCACCACCACTGCGCGCGCGGAATGTCCGAGCGACGCGAGCAATTCATTAGCCGTCGCGGAAAGTCGTTTTTTTCCCGCGAAGAACGGCGGCGGAACGACCGCGAGAGTAAATCGGCGGCCGGCGGAAAAAGTAATTCGCGAACGGCGAATTTGGCGGTTCGCCAGGAAAGCATGCGGATAACACGACGGTCCAGTAGAATGCCGTTGGTCCCCGATAACGCGAATCGATGTTGCTTTTCCACCCTCGTCGCGGAGAGAGAGAGAACTGCAGAATTTTTCTGCTCGCGAATTTTCTTTCCCCTTGCAATCCGCGCATTCTTTGTCTCTATACCGTTGCGTCGGACTTGTTGCTCGATATTTTCTCGGTCGGTCCCCGGGTCATTTGTATGTTAATCATCGGTTCATAACGGGGCCACGAGGACTCTACTCTAGTGCCGAGAAATTGCACCGAATCGCTCTCGTCGGAATGCATTTAACTATAACCACGGGCGGAATGATCAAAGGGACGTACATACACACATACCTAATAGTTTCATAGCGTATCCGAAACAGAGAAACGGCCGGCATCGTCGAGTGGGACTCGGAGAGGGTTGAGGGTGGCAAGAACTACCCTAGAGGAGGGGGGTGGGGATCTTGTCGGTGACCTGGTTGTCGGCGATTAAATTTATTCAAAAGACGATCAGCCAGACGGCGGACCGTCGTCGTAAACGAGGATCCGAGCTAGGAAAAGAGGAAAAATCCATTTCGCGGATCGAATATACAAGTCACGTATACGCTGAGAGATCCGGCCAGTTTCTCTCTCTCTCTCTCTCTCTCTCTCTCTCTCTTGCGGGGAGAGTTTCTCTTTATTAAATTCCACCTGACAAGTGGTCATGGCTCTCAAATAGGCATCGATTTTGATTCCTGCGCGGCGCTCAGTTCCGCACCGTTTCTGGCTCCGATGCCGCGTCGAAGACTATCTGTTTAAATGCTTGCATGACGTGCTTGCGAAATTTGGTAACGAGCCAATGCGAATGTGTCCGGGGCTTGTATCTTACTGCCACGGGCCACCCCCGGTTCGATTCGCGGTCGAGAAGTGCTACGCGTCAAGATTGCGCGACCACTGTCGTTGTGATTTTTGAGAATTTTAAACCTCGGGGATTTTTGTTGTTGTTGTCATTATTGTTGTTAT